GTAGAAAGTGTTGTCAACTCTCCAAGAAACATATTAACGGAAGTGATGATTTGTTACTGGGTTTAGCACAGTTGAAAGATTTGTTTGTTTGTTAAGAATTTCGCGCAAAGCTACACGAGGGCTATCTGCGCTAGCCATCCCTAATTTAGCAGTGAAAGACTAGAGGGAAGGAAGCTAGTCATCACCACCCACCGCCAACTATTGGGCTACTCTTTTACCAACGAATAGTGGGATTGACCATCAAATTATAACGCCCCCACGGCTGAAAGGGCGAGCATATTTGGTGTGACGGGGATTCGAACCCGTGATCCGCAGATTGCGAGTCGAGCGCCCTAACCACCGGGCCGTGCCAGGCCCAGTTGAAGGACAAGACAAAAATCATACCAACAAACGTATGGACAAATTATGTCAGCATTTATGTTGAGACAAATGCAAGTAAGCTGAACGATACTGGACTATAATGGATACTCACATTAACTAAATATTGTGCAAAATAAATTATCCTTCATCACCTTTTTTACACACAAACGAAAAACAATGTTTAAATAAACGAACAAATAAATAGTACACCTTTTACGCTAGATCATTTCAGGAAATTTATAGAGCGTACTAATTAAAATTACAATTGAGAGTGGATTACATATCCTGGAGTACGGGTATACTGTCCTTATTTTATTAAAACGTGATTTCTGCGATAACTGACCACAGCTACATTTTGATAAACGACTATCTTGGTATTATCATGATTCTGCTTATACTACACACGAAATAAGGAAATAAAGAAGACAATCAGACACCAGACTCACCTCTGACAAGACTGGAATGTCATATGAGAGTTGTTTCGGCCAAAAAAATTACCACGCACCCACAGAGAAAAGGCTTTTACTGGAGGTGGGATCAGTAGCTGAGGCTTGTCCACGTTATATTCACCAGATAACTGAACAATGGCAAGTCCAGAACCTTGAGCTTTCACAATTATCGCTCCATATGCGTTTGGTATCTTAAAAACGACATATGAAATAATTTATTCATAAAAATTGGATGAATCAATAAATATACATGATGCTTATCTTGGTTATATAGTCAAGTTGATAATTATTATGCAAAAAAGTTTTTTTTTTTTTACTTAAAAGTTCAAAATTCAGCCTACTTGGCGTAAATTTTATTTTTAATTGAACACTTCGAATAGCTATATATGTTCTTGTTGAAAGTTCCCGAATTTCAGAAGTTAATCATCACTAGGTGATTTCGTATGAATTGCTGTAATGATTTATAATTTTTGGCCACATTCTTTTGGATTATTCGGTACAACGAATAACTGAACTCCATTATTCTTAATGATAAGATAATAAAAAAGATTTATTTCTTCAACTTCAAATTCCAGGTTTAACCTAACTGACTCTAACCAATAAATAATCTCCGAACATAAATTCCTATTAATTCCTTGTTTTGTTTGTTTGCTTGTGTTTTGGAATTGCGCGCTAAGCTACACGAGGGCTATCTGTGCTAGTCGTCCCTGATTTAGCAGTAAAAGACTAGAGGGACGGCACTACCACCCACCGCCAACTGTTGGGCTACTTTTTCTAAACAATGAATAGTGGGATTGACCGTCACAATATAACACCCCATGGCTAAAAGGGCGAGCATATTTCGTGGGACCCTCAGCTTGCGAGTTGAGCGCCCTAACCACCTGGCCATGCCGGGCCATTAATTTCTTATCTATATTTCTTCCTCGAATTATAAACTCAATCAATATTCATAGCACTGAAGTAACTCAATACCTCAATTATACATGCTCAATAACTAATTTTAGCCTAACTAGCTTTATTTTTAATGTATAACTCGAATTGTTTCCAAAACATTGGAGAAATTTCTAGACTTTAAGATAACACATGTCTTGTTACGTTAAACTTCCTTCCGGTTAAACAAGAATACAAGTTTCTAGAATCTAAATAAAAACACAGGCTACAGAAATATTGTCAAAATTTAAATTGATAATTTAGATTTTATCTTTAAGTTTACAATATTTGCATATGTAAACTATTATCTTATTGTTGGGAAAAACAAAAACATTTTAGTTTTTTTTATATTTTGAATATAGTAATAATAATAATAATAAGAGTATCATGCTCTTAGGCTATAAAATAGTGGGTAATTTGAATGAAAAGTTCAAAGTTTGAATGAAAACCCAAGTACATGCGGTTACAGGGTTGGGTAATTTATATGAAAACGATTTTGAATATGTAAATCGACAAGTTACGTTAAAACCACAGCCGGTTTAAAGTCACGGCGGAACGGCATGTATCAGAACTACATTTTGACAGTGTTTAGAATTTTCTTAAGTAGCAAGCTGTCACTACAAAGTGATCGCTTTTGGGAAGAGTGTGTAAGGCCCTTTCCGACAAAAAAAGTATTGATACACTAAGATCATAGGTGTGTGATTAGATAGCGGATAAGAACTTCTCAAACAATGGATATACATCCCTAGTACATAATAGCACAGGATTATAAATCAGTAATTTAAAGTACCAGGCCTATTCAGAAAATGACTTGCAGCAAGTTATACACCAGCTATGGTATGCAAAATGTGGCGTCTTTTAACAAGGAGAATTCACAAATACAAAGTTCAATGACATAAGCCGCCCACGTGCACCACAGACAACAATACGCAACATAATCAAAATGACCTTCACCTGGGAACAGGGCCAACAGGATATAGGTTCACCGCGATAAGGCTTCCAGTCATACCTCCAGTTCAACTGTCGCATCCCTAAAGCAGGTGGGGAATGAAACGGGTATTCGATCTATTCCGTACAATGAAATACTGGCCAAGTCGCCGTACGCAGCGACTATAAAGTTCTGTGTGATCAGACTGCTGAAACGGTCGCTGGGAAACAGTTATCCTCGGGCACTAGATGGCTTATGGAAAATAGTAGGAACGAATAGTGTGCTTTGGACATGAAAACAATACGATTCAGCCTTTTGAAATGGAAACTAAACTTGAGTGTTATTATCTAGATGAATGGTTGTAAGATATAGCATGACCGGATGAGGCGACATGGACTGTAGCGTTGTGGAGAGGTTCCAAAATAATTTTGTTAAAACGTACTCAACCCTTTACATACGATAACAAAAGGTTGAATGCGAAATTTTTTATATAGTAGTTTTATAACACTTCAATCAATTACAATTCTTCTATTTACAAATACTGGCAGTACACTTATATAGGAGTATAATATTTTAGATAACACATTTCATAATAAAATAACTGGTGTTTATCCTCTTTTCTTCATTTTCACTTTTTGTTCTAGTGCCATCATAGGAAAAATTTATACGCGATTTCTTTAGCCGGATATTAGGAAAAAAATTATATTTACCACTGTTTTCCTTCTCGCTATCTTATGTCATTATTCTCCTTATTCTATAAACTAATCTTAAATCCCATTATGAGTCCAAAAAATCACGTGTAATAAAACTGCTCAATCACATTACTTCTAAAATGCTCAGAACCAAACACAATAGTGATGGAGAACATTTAATGATATATCGACATGGCTAAAAAGATCCTCTTTATACTCTTCACTATATTCCTCCTAGAAGAAACATAAGATACTGTTTTCACGTAAACAAAAGCACGTGGTGTATGAAATACAGTGTCAGAGTTGTAATGACTTGTATATACTAAAGAGTACAATACTAGAATATTTCTAATATTTGAAACAGTGAACCTACCACCACCCATTTCTAATGGGTAATTGTTTCAAAGTTTTGGCATTATTTCAGTTTTTGTTATGTAAATATTACAAACAGAAACAAACAAAAAAACAGTATTATTTAACATGTGGATTAAAATAAGCTATTTCAATATTACAGTCGTTTTGATAAAGTTTATGGCTTAGTGAATTCTTATTGAAATCAATACATCATGTCCTGTAACACATATAGGTGGTTTAAGTGTTATATATAAAAAGCCTTCCACTTCATCCATTCGTTTCTTCTAAAATATTCTTCCTCAACAACATGATCAACATGGCTTATTCCACAAATGTACGTACAACTTCATCCTTAGACAATATAAGTAACTACAACAACCAACTCAAGATACTAGTATTTTGTTACTACATAAATATTACGAACAGTGTAGCAGCAAAGAAATGAAAAGATTATAACTGTTCTAAAACCAATCGCCGTAGTTACAAAAACTCTTAATCACCTTTAATCTTTACATTTGATTAAATTAAATATTAAGTACGTCAGATAACACACCACACGACGTTTACTAGTAATTTAATTCCTCCATTAAAATTGCAAAACTGATTGACATACTTTTCCAATAGTTCTTGATCAAAAATTACCACCACTTTCCTCACACTCCTAACAAACAATACTTCGCTTAACAGTTATGTCAATAATCTCACACATGCTGTCGAAGTCCCCATGGATACAGACAGCAATTTCCAACGATCTGCTAGATTTATTGTTGTCTTGCAACTTGCATCAGAAATCCAGATATTTTATGAAATATGTGAGAAAGCGAAATCATTTTTTTGGCTATGGTTTTGTTTATTGTTAATTTATTATTTCTTCTATCGTTTAGTATATCTATGAATTTTTAGTTATATTAAAAAGTTAATCCACCTTCTAGCTGATCACGTTTATTTTGAGTAAATATATGTATGTATTATGAAACTGACACCAGCTTTCCTAGCGGTGAGGTACAGATTATTATTAATATAGCAAAATATTATACAAGTTTATGATCACATGAGATGTACTCTCGTGACCTAACGCAGTGAATAAATACCCTGCCATAAGTTCATAAATTGAGTCACGATACTGTTACTGAATTATTACTGTTTATCACTCGATATTATTATTAATATAGAAAGGCGATGTTGGAATATTGTTTTTTTGGAATTAGGTTTCTTTTCTTCTGGTTCTTTTTCCCGATTCCATTATTTGAAATAATTAATATTGATATTTATGTTTATTGTTCTTTAACATTAGTATCAAATCCTGGCGAGGCACATGTTAATAAACTGTGTTTTTGGTAAGTACTAAACTATATTCCAAGTGTTGTTACAGTTTAACAAATTGTTGTTTTTTTGTAGCGACGTGTTATTCTTGACCGTTATATAACAACATATCGGATACTTCGCAGAATTTTATTTACCACAGATTTTTTTCTTGAAACCATATTGATTAAGAAAGCTGGGAGTAACATTCAAAAGTTTGAGAAAAAAAAATTTATGCGTTCGCAAATGTGAAATCTAACGCATTTTTAAACGTTGACGGTCACTCAATTTTCTTTCCAGTCTCCCTAAGTACGAAACTAAAGTTATGCCGATGCTTTCTCTCGTGATACAAGTTCCTCGCGATTACTGATCACGACACCATTTGTATTAAAGTTACTAAACTTTTCCTTCCACTTTATTATACTTAGTGTAACGTCTTTATTTTTTTATATTAATCTTTGTGCATTAGTCATTCCACCAAATTCTTGGAAGTCTTCTAACATTAAGAGAGAGAGGTGGAAAACGAGAGAAATTTCGTAGTAATTACAGACAATTAATTTATTATAAAACAAAAACATAACGCTGTATCTGACCTCACTACAAACTTCAAAAGCACATTCCAAAAAGCCAGTTTTATTTTGAAAGATTCAACATTATAAGAAGCTGGACGTTATGAATGTTTGTCAGGTACTTATTATGCACTCATTGCTTTTGGTCCTTGGTACAAAATGTACTAAAATATATCATAATTATTCACGTATAACGTATAGATATTTTATAAATTATATGTTTGTTTAAATAAGGTTTACCGTTTACACATATCGGTAAAGTTGTGAATCTGTAACACTTACCTCTATATTTTGTAGCTTCGAAAGGTTAACATCTCCAATGTGAAGCTGCCACACAAAACCGGGATTGGAGAGTGCCTCTATAGTGAGTGTCATATCGGTAGCGTCTCTTGGTCTCGAATTAACCGTGTACTCGATTAGTGCTTGGAAAGCCAGGAGAGTATCCTGCAGGAAATCAAGACCCTATGATGAAGTCGGTTTTAATATTTCAGGATTAGGTAGTTAGTTTTGGCAAGTTGAGAAAACTCCGAAAATAACGCATTTGCAAGTTTGAATAAAAGCTCAATCTGCTTTTACCACCCATCCATTCCTGAACAATGCGAAGGACGCACTGTGATTGTATTATTAAGATTCTAGGAGGTCCGTGGTTCACTTTAAATAGTGCCATCTATGTAATTTTACGTAACATTCATAAGGTAATCTTTCTTGTGCGAGTTATTTTCATTTTTGTTTAAATTTTCTTTTTGATCTTGAAACTAGGGTGCCTTCCAAATTATATTTATTTGCGAAAATGATAAGAAGGCACCATAAAAAAACCTTGATATTAATTTAGTGCAAGTGAGTCTGACATTAATAAAATGTAAATGAAAAACTAGTTTTTTTACATATCCACTGTAGCCTTAATTGTTAAATTAAACAGTCAATAACGTAAATAAAAACAACTTTCATAACAACGTAAGTTGGTCTGTAAGTTTGAAACTCAAGCTGTCAGTCAATAAAAATACAAACAATCAAACCGATATGGTTTTGTGTATTCATCCCTACCTTGTTTCTGTACTTTTTGACATTGCCATCCCTACATCATACTTAATTGTTGCAAAATTATTTTTCATTACTTGTTTCTTATCTACTGGTAAACAATTTCATTGAAGTAGGTTGATAAATGAACATTTGTTTCAATTTCATAATTCAATGGTAATACATATTGTTAGTATGATTTCAGATTTTGTCAGTTTCTTCGTTACACTTGTAGAATGACCTCAGATATTGATATTATACCATACAATTGGCTACAATAGGTTATTAATAATCATTGGTCATAATCTTAACTTTTTGGGACTTAATGTTGAGGAACCTATGGTAAGGAAAGAACATTTAAAAATGTATAGCTGTATCATCCCCATATTCATGTTTGCATTCTTTTTCGCACTGCCATCCCTTCATCATTTTCCATTTTCAAAATGTTTTTTATAACTTGTTTTGTGACGTTTTCCCCTCTCACTGAAAGTTAGTGTATTCTTTGAACGTGTGTAATAAAATTTAATAATACGTGTATTAATTATATATTTACTCCTTCACTTCATACATAATACAGGGGTTGGCTCCATAAAGATACCGACTGTATAGTGTACAAAGAATTGAGTATTATACATGTTTTTAAGCTTTTTGAAGTAACAGCAGATTTTTGAAATGAAAGCTAATTTCAAGGGGTAATGATAACATCGTTTACACTAGAATTATGCTTTTTTTAGCTTATACTAAGCACTATCGTGCTTAATGATAGCCTGTTTCCAAGTCCCATTAAAATGCTTTTCTGTCGTACTAAATCCATTGCGAAAACTTCACACATTTTTGGGCATGTGTGGAAAAATAAGAATATACACTTTGGCTCTTTAGCAAGTTCCCAGTTTTCCATTTTAGCAACACTTCTCAATGATATTGGGAGTCTCAAAAGCTGTGAAACGCTTCATAATGACAATTAGGTGCTCAAATAAGGCTACAACTCAACTTTAGCAGTTACTTGTAAGCATGATAGAGTAATATAATTAATGCGGCAGACAGTTTCTTTTATCGGCCCATTACTACATACCGTGATATGTGATTAACACTCGCTACATTGACTGAAGTTCGGTGTTACACAAATGTACTTACCTGAGTAGAGCTCCAACCACCATCATGCAATCGCTGAGCAACAAGCCATCTAACAATATCCTTTTGAATGACTGCCTGTCTTGCCACGTGCACCAAAAGGCCATATGCTGTCGTCTGCACGTTCAAGGCTTCGTATTTGTGAAGCAATTTGGGTAGAAGGTACGGGCGGTTGTTTATGATGGCGGTTCGAGGAGGAGGAACAGTTTCTCTTGCCCAGTATTTCATACCACCTGCAATTAACAGGTATTGTAACTAAAGTGCATCTTATTACCAATAATTCAATTCATTTTGAAATATTGCTTTTGATATACCGTAATATTTTTTTTTTTTAGGTAAACAATTCTATGTATATAACCTAACAAGTTGCAAAATAAATGTGTACCATTTCTTACGCTGCTTGATAACACAAGTGTACAATACGTCTGAAACGCAGAGGTTTGCTACTCTTCGAATGTCGCCACAATACAATAAAGCATAAAAAATATTTTCCTCTATTTTATAAGCAAAAAAAAAGTATTATCCTTCCTCTATAGACACCTTTAGTTTAGTTATTAATGCCACAAGTTTCTGCGCAAAAATTAACTTATAGACATATTTGATGATTTTCTATCTCGTACTACTGTTTTATATACTATCAGAAACTAAAGCATAGTAAGACTGTCAGGGATCCTTAGTAGCTTTAACGATGTTATTAGTGTTCAAATATTAGCCAAAAATCAGGAAAACAAAATCGGACATCAATGTTTGTTAAAAAATTACATTTTCGATATAATATACATTTTTTACAGGGTTCAATAAATTATACATACTTCTCCTACGAACAGATAATATTTGAGGTAGTTTTGACAGTCTCGAGATTTTAAGTTTTGGTATAGTCATTAATGTTCATACTGTTTATATCTCTGTTAATAATTTCGTTCTTAACTTAACCCATCATATGAAATACCACAACGTAAAATTGCAATCCATGTACAACCCATGATACGGTAATGAACTTATAAAATATGGAATAAATAAAAACTAACTTTTGCATTATTGTGGCTATTAATCATTTAGTAGACTTTGCTTATAAACGTTCTAATTTAAAATGACGTATATCATGCAAATTGGACTTAAAAATTTCTTTAGATAATTTCTAAATAACTTTATCTATGTTGTTACAAGGTTGAAAATTAACTATATCATAACATCGATTTATTTGAATACGACCTTTTAAACAAACGATTAAATTGTTTGTTAATAAGTTTTGTATCTTCACGTAAATTAGCGTCTTGTGTGGGATGTCTATGTAGAAATTACACGTATATTGTACTCCATTACTTCGGGAGCTAAAATTAAAGAGAACGTTATGAGTGATATTTTGATGATGCCACCTAGTGTTCAGAATATCAAACGTGAACCGTTTATCCGAGAGTATTATTTTAAGAGCATTTAACTGTCGGTTTATTTTATTTGTTAAAAAAGCTTTGTTTAAGAGAAACTCCAAGGAGATAAGTTACTATTCTGTTACTTAACAATTCCGGTTTAAAAACAGAACTATTAGTTTTGTTTGAACTGGTAAGGTTACAGTAGTTTTCCAAATCAGGTCCCTCTCTCTTACTCGATTCTCTCATTCTCCAGTCCAGCAGGTTAAAGGCCTCTCCTCCAGCATTGCTGTCGGATAAGGTTAAAGCATACGTTACAATGGCTAATTCAAATGGATCATCGTAGTTCTTCACAATGTGGAGTGTTCTTTCCAAATATCTCTGTGCTGCGGTCCGGCTTGTGGAAGCTCTCGCTCCCAGTTCCTATATACAAATAATATGAAAAACAACAGCAGCTAATTAGTGACAATATATTATCTATAGTATGTTATTACGGCCAGCTATCAAGTTTAGTAAGTAAACTATTGTTTTAATGCACTCAAATTAATCCTTATTTGACCGAACTACACGAAAATTTGTCAGTATTATGTAAATATGTATGTCTGTGTTAATAAACCTTAGTTATCTTTTCTATTAATAGGTAGTATTGCTAGATTATTGTTGTTTCAAACTGTTCGATTGTTGTCTATTGTAATAGCACTACTGCTACACAGCCCAAGAAAGACTCCCGCAAATGAGTGAAAATCTGTCTCAATGTGTCTGTTTGTAGTTAAGCATAAAGCTACACAATGGGCTATCTGTGCTCTGCCCACCACGGTTTCTAGCGTTGTAAGTCCGCAGACATAACGCTGTGCCACTAGGGTATGTTTGTTTCGAATTTCGCGCAAAGCTACACGAGGGTTATCTGCGCTATCCGTCCCTAATTTAGCAGTGTAAGATCAGAGGGAAGGCAGCTAGTTATCACCGCCCACCGCCAACTCTTGGGCTACTATTTTACCAACGAATAGTGGGATTGGCCATCACATTATAATGCCCCCACGGCTGAAAGGGCGAGCATGTTTGGTGGGACGGAGATTTGTACCTACGACCCGCAGATTACAAGTAGAGCGTCCTAACCATCTGGCCTTGTCGGGCCCGTGCCACTAGGGTGCGATCTGTCCGAAATAAATTATTCCAAAAGTTTCAAGTAGTTTTAATTTTAAATATTATGTTTTCACCCTAAAATGATTATTTTATAATAGTTCATGTTTGATTAGGGTTGTATTAAACCATAAAGAAGAACTTATTATATCATTCTCATTGCATGAATCTTAATGAACTATAAAACTAATTCTGATTCGCTAATTTCCACAGAAACCTAAGAAAACCGTAACAAATTTTCAACAACAGAGTGAGTATTATAAAGTTAACACTTCTTAGAATCCCAACCTCTTCTCTTCTACTTTTCATCTTTGTATTCAACACAATTTTTTGAACATTTTCATCTTGGATAAAGATTCTGACATAGAAACAAATATTTTATTTTTTTACGCGTTGAAAAATAATTCTCTTCAACCATCTGTATACATCGGTGCTTGAAATGATTGTATCTAGTAATCTTAATAGATAACATAAGTTTATAACTACCCATTGAATTCCAAGCATTATCATACTCATGAAACTTTCCAAAATACACTTCAATCTTTTAATAGCCTGGAAAGAAAAACAAAATAAATTCAAAAAGGTTATTGTTGCTTTCTTATTTCTATGATATTAAAGTTTTACATTTCACAGGTTTCAAAAGCTGTAACTTACTCCGCCCAAGTCCTTAACTTCCAACAGAGTGATTAGAACGTGAGCTGTGCGTGCGATTTTCCCATGGTTAGCTACGTCATCAAGTCTTCCAGCCTATAAAAGGAGGATTAATAGAAGGTGAAGTACAGGTTTTTATAGCATTAATTTGAGTTACTTACACACTCACATGTTCTTCAATGTGTAGGGTCATACGAGGGATTATAAACGCATACCAGAAAACATGCGCAACGAGATAAGTGGCATAATAATTTGAAAAAAAAAGTAAAACCAAAAACATTTTTTCTTGTGAAATAAATATTGTTAAATTTAACCTATTTGATTTTTTTCACTACCATCCAATGCTCGTTTCTTATGAAATAAATACTGTTAAATTAAACTTATTTGATTGTTTCTCACGACTGTTCAATGCTCGTTTATGCTTATAATGTGCCATTGGAAAATCCATATAGCATTCTATATTTCGTACATATAAATTCTATAAGAAGAGTCATGTCCACAAAATTGACTTTGTAAATTATTGCAGAATGTCTATGAATTTTTTTCTAAAAAAACAAACAAACAAAAACGAATATGATATTTTATAAAAGACAAAACAAAAGTATTCGAACGTACAAAAAACATATTTTAATCTTATAATAAAATGAGACTTTAATACCATGATAATTCGTAATCTGTAAGAAAGAATGAGGATCTAAAACTTATCAGAGAAAAATACTAATATATCAAAGTGAGCCTGGCATGGCCTGGTGGTTAGGGCGCTTCACTCGCAATATGAGGGTTGCGAGTTCGAATCCCCCGTCACCAAACAGGCTCGTCCTATATGGTTGCTAACTGGGCTAGCCACCCGGGTGTAAAAATTCTTGGCCTACAAAAATACAGACCGATCCCTAATTCGATGAGACTAAGGTCGAATTGGGGGGAAAATAAATAATGTGTTAGAATTTTGATACTTAAAGGGGTGGACTCGCAATGGTTGTAATATACACTTCAAGTGGGTATAATGCTGCTGCGTTCACATCCTATTTGTCAAAACTTGTTTCCATTGTATTTCACGTCATTTATAGAATAATATACGTTTGCGTACCACTTGTTTCGCATTATGTTAAAATCAAGTGCTCTCTCTGTTTTGGAGAGATATGTAATGTACTATGTATCTGCTTGTTAATTTCACACTACGTTAAACAAGTAAGATGTCCATGTTATCTGTTTCATGCCATGTAAAATATAGTTGACTAAGTTATATTAAAACAATTTTGAATATGCAAGTCAGTAAGTCACGTGATAACTACAACAAACATAAAGTCTTGGTGATACGGTATGTATCAGAACTAATTTTGACACTGTTCGGCATTTTCGTAGGTAGTGTGATGCCACTGCAAACTGATCGCTTTTGGAAGGAGTGTGTAACAGCCCTTTCAGATGCCAACTATTCATACACTTAATGACATTGGAAAACAAAGGAATATTAATCAACTTGGGGCACCAGAACCATTCAGAAAGAGACTTACAATAAGTTGTATTTCAGACGTCTAGTAACAGGTGAGAATCCACGAAAAGAAAAGGTCAGTAGCAAAAGCTCGTCCACGTGGCCCTGGCAGCAAACAGCACGCAACGTAATCAAGGATCTCCGACTGGAAAAGCGACACAAGTCACGCGTAAACAAGTTACTTCCATGACATATCAGTTGAACCGTTGCATACCTCAATCAGCTGGAGAATGAAATGGGTATTTATGGTTTCCATACGAAGACACATTGGCTTAGTCACCGGAAGCAACGCCTGTGAATTTCTGTGCTCTGGGACTGTTACAACGGGTGCTAGAAACTGTCATCTTCTTACATTAGATTCATGAGTGAAAGTCAGCAGGAAGAAGTGGTGTCCATTGAACATTACATACGTTATTGTAACGGAATATTTTACAATGGTAACTACACTGCTGGGCTATTGTCAAGATGCAAGGTTGTCAGAAAGAGCACGACTTAACGTGGTGAACTGGTCACTAACGACATGGTGAGGCTCCAAAATTGTTTTAATATAACATACGCAACATCTGTATAACGCATTAACCAATTGTGTTGTCTGTTAGACACGTTATGTAATAAGCCACGTGTTTTTGCTTCTATTTCGCAGTACGTTTACGAATTAGTTACCCATGCTATCCATCATATATCAGATGTGTTTAAGTTTGCTTCGTATCATTTGTAATGTATTCCATCATATGTAGCAAGCCACGTGACCTTGCTAACATCTGCTTTACAGCATCTGTAACAAGCCATTTCTAACCTATTTATTCTGCAATAAGTCGTGTACATCAAATGCACCAAGCAAGTGACGTATCACATCATACGTAGCAAGCGAGAGACCTTACCAAATTGACAAGCAATGTCTACGTGCACTATATGCAACAGATCATGTACTTGCTTCCTTGATTGCCTCACTGACAACATAATTCATGAGTGTATGATTACGATTTCGATTTATCAAGTCATTAAGATAACAGTAGATATGCTAAGTTTTTATATAAATGCTTGTTGTTGTTGGTTGAAGTTAAGCATAAAGCTAAACAATGGGCTATCAGTGCTCAGCCCACTGAGGGTACCGAAACCAGGTTTCTAAATTTTGTAAGTCTGTGGACATGCCGCTGTGCCACTGGGGGGGGGGGCTTATAAATAATGGTGTGTAGCACCAAAATTGGCGGAAGCATGGCTGTTGTTAGTTTTATTTCATATAAAATAAACAGCCTATAAAACTGGAAATAACGTTAAAGCGACACTGTATATGAACTTCCTAAAAAGAAGAGCGTAGTACATAAAATGAAGCGTTAGTACACTGGTATAGATCAAAATAAGAGTTTAAAACTTCTTCAGGTTTTATACAATTTTATTTTGAAATCATTTTAGGTTTTACAATAATAATAGTAATCTTATATTACGTCTCCTCCCTAAATATCTTTTATCGTTCTTTTATTTTTTTAACTTAATTATGTTATCTGCACATACAGATTGCGTTTTTCTTACTCACACTCTGTTTCATTTTTCGATCATAAGGAAAGAAGTTTGCTTCTGTAAAAGCGCCATCTGGTGACTGGTAGTTCAACAACCACTTAACAGCTTTTGCAATTACTGTTGGATCTATGTAAAGAAAGTTTGTCCACTCATCCAGAGATGCTTTATGAAGAACTTGAACACAGAAAGCTGTCAGCCTAGGAAGAAAACAAGACTGGATATCAGTAAAACGAATCTAATTCAAAAGTGGTGTTAATTTCTAAATAATTCATATTTTATGACAAATATTTTTTATTATTATTAATTATTTGTTTCAGAAATTTCGCGCAAAACTACGCAAAGACTATTTGCGCATAGTTGTCCATAATTTCGAACTAACAGACTAAAGAGAAGGAAGTTTGCCACCAGCACCAAGATGGAAGGCACCCAGTCAACAGCACCCTCCGCTAACTTTTGAGTTATTGACCGAATAGTGGGATTTTAGCGTCACTTTTTTAACGCACCCAAATCCTCAGAGGACGGAGCGCGTTTTTACGGCAACGGTACACGATCAGTGAATACTTGGAATCATAATCCCGTCACCCTAACTATTAGGCCACAATTGCCCTTATCATTAATAAATTTTAAGAATTAAGATCTAAAGACGTTTAAGATCTTAGATCAAGAGCATAAGACCACATTACCCCCCTCCCCCCAGTGGCACACTGGTATGTCTGCGGACTTATACTGCTAGAAACCGTGTTTCGATACCCGTGGTGGGCAGAGCACAGATAGCCCTTTGTGTATCTTTGTGCTTAATAACAAACAAACAAGACCACATTAACCAACATCAGGTAACATTTCAAACAATGTATCTGAATCTAAAGTATACGAGATACGTTTTTAATAAAGTCTGTACATTTGCATGCAGTTCCAGTTATATATGTACACATAGAATAAAGTTTATGAAGATAAGTTACATAAACCCAATTTTTATGCACGAATTTTGTCACGCAAAAAATCCAACAATAATACAGTTCTGTGAAGGCAATTTTTCCAAAAGCAGTTTTTAAAATACATTTTTTTAATAACAGATCTAAATGGTTTAATAAAGTGTAAGTAAAAGTTATCTCTACTCACTTAGACAATTAAAAAAAATAATCAAGTTAGCAAATTTCAAAATAATTAATTAGACTGGTAGACCTTTTTAAATAATTGTGAATATTATACAAAAATGATTAAAATTGATAAATACTTGTTTGTTTGTTTTGAATTTCGCGCAAAGCTACACGAAGGCTGTCTGCACTAGCCGTCCCTAACTTAGCACTTGAGGGAATGCAGCTAGTCATCACCACCCACCGC